CTCACACACACCGGAACAACAAGGTGAGAAGATGCTCTCTTCTTCCTCTGTCATTCTATTTAACACCACCTTTGTAGCACTTCTCCCCTGATGTGCACTGAATCTGGAGTCTATGTACTAACTCCTGAGTGTGCACTTGTAACACACAGAATGGAAAACACATGCCCTCAGCCATGATAAGAAGAGCTTTCATATTCTCATTAAATTTTAGACAACCACAGCTGCTATCAAAGCACCACCGAAATGAAGTGATGGACAAAACAACAACTGCAGAGGACAGACCAACTGCATATGCAGACACAATGCCAAACAAAAGAGAACAAAACAAACAAACACTGGAAAGTTACCATGGAAAAAGAAAAGAAAAGAAAAAACACTGTTGGCCTGGAGAATAACAGGTCTTGGCAAGCAATTTGAGAGCTTAACACAGAGACTACTGACAGAATGGGAAAGGTGATGCAGGGAGGTGTACAGCAGATGTGCTGATTAGCAGGTGCATGCCAACCAGCATCTGCACACCCGTCTGTGTGAGCTTCATAACAATTATCTCCACCAACAACAAAAATATCTTGCTCTCTCCAGTTAAACCTGGAAGAACAGAATAAAGGCTACTTTTCAAGAATACTATGCAAGATGTGGCTACTTATCAAACATTCATAATGAATGAGATGGACAATTTATGATGTAAACATCTGGGGAAACTATTGTTTTCGTAATGGCTATGGTTTGCTGGATTTAAAGGTCCACTTCAACTATATATAGCAGAAGATTGTAGGACTCAGTGTGGATGTATCAATATGGAATTATCCCATTTAATTTACTGTCTTTATCTTATTCTTTAATGTTAGTTGTAGTAAATGGAATTTCGTTCAGTGGAAGGGGGATTCAAGACCTCCCACAAATATAAACTTGATGTTGTGCAGTTGGAATCACTGCAAAGTTAGTCATACTCCTAGTATTACAAAAACTGGATTCAAGAAACTGCAAGAGAACTGAAAGCAGGGGCGTAAATTACACGGGGGACGTGTCCCCCCACTTTTAATATCACGTAAATTCGTCCCCCGCACTTTTTCGGGCAAGTGTGTTCGCATAGAGGTTTTCAAGAGCCGTTGTGAATAAATATAGATTTAAATTCAAAGAGACAGGATAGTCTGTGCATGATCTGATGTTTCATTCGGACCCAGAATAAGGCGATGTGAACATCACAGAGCGCTAAACATTCTGTGCAGTGTATGTTTCATTCATACTCAAAGCCGGAAGCGCTCTCGCGCAGAAAGTCGTATGAGGAAATTCCTAATATGGACAAAAGCGTCCAGCTATCGCTGTATGAAAACAGTTGTTTTCACAGAAAAACAGAAACGTTTGGAAACATGAAGACTTTAAGCATATGATTGCGACAATATGGTTTATTTGTGTTTGTCAAGTCATCTCCAGGTAATAAATAAAGTATATGAACAATGCAGTGCTAACTGACATAGCATTTATTACAGTATTGAAACTATTCTGCCTTATGTGATATTATGAAAAAAAAATTAAAGTTGAATATACACTACCAGTCAAAAGTTTTTTTTAAAGAAGTCTCTTCTGTTCACCAAGCCTGTATTTATTTGATCCAAAGTACAGCAAAACAGTAATTTTTTCTCACAAAATTGTACTAGGCTATTTCAAATAACCGTTTTCTATTTGAATATATTTTAAAATGTAATTTATGCATCATTACTCCAGTCACACTATCCTTCAGAAATCATTCTGATTTGCTGCTCAAAAA